GGAGATCCAACCAGTCCATCCTAAAGGAGATCAGTCCTGGGTGTTCATTGGAAGGACTGATGCTGAAGCTGAAACTTCAATAGTTTGGCCACCTGATGGGAAGAACTGACTCACTGGAAAAGACCCTGATGCTGGGAAAGCTTGAAGGCAGGAGGAGAAGGGGACGACAGAGGATGAGATGGTTGGATGGCATCACCGACTCGATGGACATGAGTTTGAGTAAACTCCAGGAGTTGGTGACGTACAGGGAAACCCTGCGTGCTGCAGTCCATGGGGTCGCAGAGAGTCGGACACGACTGAGCGCCTGCACCGAGGCGGGCCTGCCCCTCGGCCCGGGCGCGGGCCCTTTAAGGGCGGGGCGCGGCCCAGGTGAGGGCGGGCCGCCGGTCGGAGCCGCGCCCCCGGAGCCGCGTCGGGAGCGCGGGCGGGCCTGCGGGGCCGCGGACGCTCCTCTTCGCCCTGCCGCCGCCTCTTCCGGCCGCTCACCTGGGCCCCGGCCCCGGCACCAGGATGAAGGACCGGCTGGAGCAGCTGAAGGCCGTGAGTCCGGGGGCGGGAGGGGTCTTCCTCCGGCCCCGGGTCCGGGCCTGCGCTCCCCGAGCCGGACGCACGGAGCCCCCGTCCCTGGGTCGCCTACCGCCGATGCGTCGCCAGGCTGCGCTCTCCCTGGACGCCCCGCCACGGCTGGACGGCGTCTGTCGAGAGCTGGGGTCCGCAGGGGCGTCCAGAGGGACTCTCCGTGAAGGTCGGGGGCGCGCACCGCCTGCCCGCCGCTGCCGGACGCTGCGCCCGGACCCGCCTCCTCCGGGCGCCCCCTAGTCTCTCTCCCCTTGGGGGGCGCTGAGCCCGCTGCCCTCGCCCTCGAGAGAGCAGCTCCCGTGGGCGACCGCCTGACCGTGAGCTTATCTGGTCCAGCGGATGTTCAGCGCCTCGGCATCCAGCTGTCTGTAATTATTAATCCCCCCGCCCGCGCCCCCCATCCTTGGGACGCCTGTGATCGGGCCCAAGGATCTGAAGGGAGTCCGCTTCCAGCCCTGCTGCGTAAAATCGGTAAAACCTTCGGCAACCTACTGTTTTGAACTTGTTTCCTTATCTGTGGAAGGAAGGTTAATGGTACCCTAGAGATTTGTGTTGAGATCGGATGATGTAATCGGGCTTAGTATAGAGAAGGGGTAAAGCATGGGTATTTACGTGCAATATTCATTGACTCATTGAATAAATAATTACTGAGTGTTCTCTATGGGTTGGGTCACTCAGGCTCTGTCTTAGGGGAATTTAAGATCTAGCCCCTGATGCAACGTCGTCCCATCTACTTGGGAGTTTGTCAGAGGCGCGGCCGCTTAGGCCTCCCTCCAGAGCAAGGGAATCAGAATCTGATTATCCATAAATGTCTCCAGGTGATCGTGCGCACACTGAAGTCTGAGCAACAGGGGTCTGGATAGAGCTGGGGTTGCCTCCCTGCTCCACTGCTTACCAGCTGTGCCCGTGACCTTGGAGCCTAAGTTTTGTCATCTGTAAAATGGGTAGTCCTCAGGACTAAACCCAAGAGAGCAGGCACAGCCCTTTGTATGGTGCGTAGCGCACCCGGGACTAAGCCTAGTGAATCTCACACTAGTCACTGTAAAATCTTTTCGGAAAAATGAAGCCTTGGGCAAGCGTGAAGGAGTGCTGGGATGATGTCACAGTTGTTTTCTTTCTCCGCCTTTGTCTGAGCTGAGACCTTACTGACCCTTTCACCCGCTCCTAGTAGGACTGTGTTGGAGGCAGGGGAGGGGATGTGACCGAGGCCAGGGGACGGTCAGTGGTGGTGGGAGTCAGCCTCCCTGTTGCCTCCAAACATCCCTGAAATGACAGAACAGAAGTGGCTGCCTCTGTTTGTAAAGAGGAGGAGACTAGAGCTCAGCCTGGGAAGGACGGATGCCCCGGGTCACGGGGCGGACGGGAGCCGATCCAGGGAGTAGCCAGGCTCCTGACCTCTCCCTGAGCCCTTGCCCCGGAGGCAGAGAGCAAAGTGGAGCCTGGTGTTGAAGACCCGCCGGTCCAGCACAGCGGGCGGTCATGGCGCGGTGCAGAGCTGGTCGGCGAGAGAGACAGTGTCCTTCCTTGAGTAAGGAAGTCCATTTCCAGGGCGAGATGCGCTTTCAGCAGACAGCAGAGAGCCTCAGCTGAGCTCTGAGGCCCAAGTAGAAATTCAGATTGTTGGAGGGAACCCAAGCAAGTCCCATTGGTTCTCCGAGCCTCAGTGTTACCGTCTGTAAAATGGCGCCACTGCTGCGTCTCTCTCTTTTCCTCCTGGGAGCGCGGCAGAAGGGAGACTGTAGACGGAGCGGTGAGGCTGGGGGCGCGGCCTCGTGGAGAAGGGAGACATGACCACGCCGTGCAGAGAGGATCGGCTCGGGTCAGGAGGTTCGGACTGTGGCTTGCTGCCTGCGCGCCTGCTCCTTCGTGTCACTGCGCCTTGCTGCTCCTCTCACCCCGCTTTGTAACAGGGAGTTCGGTGGGTTTCCAAGTCCCTTCCAGCAACACTAACGCTTTCCTTGAAGACTACTGTTAAGGTTTAGCTGGGTTTTGGCTTCTAGCTCACTTCCCCGAGCCAGCCCCCCCCTTACCCCCGGAGAGAGAGAGAGAGAGCGCCCCTTCACTGGCGACACTGTTACCATCTTCGCTCTCTGATTCCTTTTGTCATGGTTTGCTAACCTGCTCAAAGCCAATTTCACCCTGAGTGGCAGTGCGATCTCTGCCTGCAGGGATCTTTCTAAACCCTGGGGCCAGCGGAGCGTGAACTGCCCCCAGACAGCGGAAGCGCGTCCTGTGCGGGGGCGTTAGTGCTGCTCCCGTAGGTGGAAGGAGAATAGTGAGGCCTGGAGGCTGATGGGCAAACGTGAAGACTCTAGAAGGCACTTTTTTTTTCTTCTTCATTTAGTTGCTTATTTACTGACTGTGCTGGGCCTTTGGTGCCGCTGGAGCGCCCCGGAGCTGCCTGAGCGGCGGCCCTCTCCCGCAGTGGTCCGGGCTTCTCTCCTTGCAGACCGTGCGCTCCGGTAGCTGCAGCGTGGGGTCAGCATTGCCACTCCCTGGCTTCTAAAACACAGGCTCCGTAGAGGCGCTGCGCGGGCTTCGTTGCTCTGAGGCCTGCGGGATCTTCTGGGTCAGGGGTGGAACCTGTGTCTCCGGCTTTGGCAGTGGATTGTTCACCCCGGAGCCACTGAAGCCCTGTCGTGGCGTTTGTGATGTCAGAGCTGCCCAAGGCGGGGCCAGGCCGGTGGGGCCTGGGAGGAAGGCTTGGTGGGGTATTGACTGTTGTAGAAATGTGAGCCCTTCTTGGAGACGTGGGCAGCCCGGGAGGACGTTCAAAGTCTCCATCCACCCTGAGGGTGTGTGTTTCTAAAAGTGCTTCACTGAGAGCCTGTTCCAAGCACTCTGGAACCCAAGGGCTCAGAGTTGGTGTGAAGTGGATCACCGCACCCTCCCCTCAGGGTCACTGAGGGTGAAATGAGATAATCCCTGATAATCACCCATCTCAGTCAACTCAAGTTCCCCAGACGGACGGGCTGGGAGCAGCACGTCCATGAAGGGCGCCCCTTCCTGCTGCCGCGGTCACCGGCTGCAACTCATCCGCCTCTTGCCCTTCTCCTCCGGGCAGGCCGGCCCAGAAGCCTGCCCTTTGGTGACGTCAGGATGGCCGGGAGCTGTGGTGCCCACACCCAGCCTGTCTCTCCAGGCGGTTCCTGCTGAGGTCTCCGCCGCTGAACTTTGGATCTGCTGAGTCCAGACCCTTCCCGTCCCGCAGCCTCTTGCCCGGCCCTGGTTTCACTCAGCCGGTGTTCAGCCAGCACCTTCTCTGTCCCCGCCCTCCCAGAAGCGCTGGGGCGGGGGTGGGAATTGACGCTGACGGACACACATTGCTGGGCCTTGGGGATCACAGCGAGGGAGGCACCCGAGGAACAGACCCATGATCCCGTCCTTGGGACAGAAAGAACACCTGCAGGACCCCGTGGGCCAGTCCCTGGCGCTGGGGCTTTAGGGCCTGGGGACTCTTCCCAGAAGAAGTGATGCTTCCGCTCGGGTCCTTGTTGAGACTAAAATCTACTTGTCAGAGGCTGGAGAGGCTCCTTAGTAGAAAGGCAAAGATCCTGGAATTTCTCACCCATTCTCCCTTTGGGCTTCATGGAGACACCATGATTGGTGCCTTTTGACCTCTTCCTGCCTCGTGAACTGCTGGGCATCCTGAGATGTAGAGTTTTTTATTTTTATTTTTGGCTATGCTACAAGGCGTGTGGGATCTTATGAATAATAGATCCCCCACCGGGGATCGAACCCAGGTCACAGCAGTGACAGCACCAGGTCTTAACCCCTGGACTGCCAGGGGATCTAGGCAGAGTTCTTATACAAAGTCCTGGTCTGAAAGAACACGTCGTATAGGGAAAACAAAGGAATATGGTCCCTGAAAAGCAAGCCTCCAGCATCACATGGAAACAGTGGCAGCCTTTATTTTCCTGGGCTCCAAAGTCACTGTGGACAGTGACTGCAGCCATGAACTTTAAAGATGCTCGCTCCTTGGAAGATAAGCTATGACCAACCTAGAGAGCATATTAAAGAGCAGACATCACTTTGCTGACAGAGGTTCTTATAGTTGAAGCTATGGTTCTTCCAGTAGTCATGTATGGATGTGACAGTTAGACCATATGGAAGGCTGAGCGCTGAAGAATTGATGCTTTTGAACTGTGGTGTTGGAGAAGACTCCTAAGAGTCCCTGGGACTGCAAGGAGATCCAACCAGTCCATCCTAAAGGAGATCAGTCCTGGGTGTTCATTGAAGGACTGATGCTGAAGCTGAAACTCCAGTACTTTGGCCAGCTGATGCAAAGAGCTGACTCCTTGGAAAAGACCCTGATGCTGGGAAAGATTGA